AGCTTTGCTTATAAACTTCAAATTACCTTCAGCAGACATTTGTTTAAACCGAAAAAAAAAAATCCTACTTAAAACCGCAGATCTACTAAAACAACGGATTTCTACTCGTCAACACACTTCAACACACAAACGTTTTCTATTTAGAGACTCTTTTCTTCACCTCCCATGTGGGGAATTTAAAGGCAAGTGTGAAAACAACTTTTTTAGGTCATTAAAAGTTAATAGGATAATTGCTTATTTCTCATGTTTGTGTGTGCGAGATGGCAGGTTTCTGTTGTCGCCTTGATCTTGATATCTATATCGCTCTCTCTTCTCGCCTGCCATCTGTGTGTGGCAGGTCTGTCTGAGTGTGTGTGTGTGTGTGTGTGCGTGCGTGTGTGTGTTTCCTTGTGGAGATGAGAGAAACAGAGTGGCACAGAGCACAAAGCTACATCAGAGGAGGCTCTTCACCAGCACCCCACCACCACCACCCCACTTTTCTGTCGCTCTCATCCAGCCTCCCTTGTCTTTGTAGCATCGCTGAGCCTGCACTCTCCCACCGAAGCCCGGCTGCTCTTTAAGGCCGCTTTGTCTTTTGGTCTTTCTACTGCCTTTCTCTCTCTCCTTTTTTTTCCCGCTGATGTCAACAGAGTGGCTTCACAGAGATTCATGCCTCTCCCGAACACACCTCATTTAGAAAACCACAAAAAAACAGAAGAAGAACGAACGGAAAGAAGCTGCACAAAACAAGATGGGGACAACTGTGGCGATGCTCTTTCTACCGCCTCAGCATCAAGAAAACACATTTTTCAAAGTTTCCCCTCGGTTCAACTAACAACGAAATGACTTAGCCTTGCAGTTGCGATTGGGTTGTGCTTTTATGTAGGACCAATTAAATGTGGTTACATAGCTCCATTCATGGGCTGTGAGAGGTAAAGGCACCAGTAATGAGAAAAGTACGCAGGTATACGAAGAGGAGCGTTCAGAAGCCTTTATACTTCAGGTTCTGACTGAAAYTCACAGCTCCCGTGCGGAGCGACTTGAGATCATTTAAAAGTTTGTACATTAACTTTTAGGTGTTTACAGTATATTAGTTGCACTTGCATTTTTGTTTGGGAGGTAGTTTATAGTTGCTGGAGCATTAAGTTGTGTCCATGTTATATATGTGTGACTTTAACAGAGTTAAAAATGCACTTTATTAATTATTATTTCTATTTCATGTTATGTTGACTATTTTTGAATTTTATCTCACTGAGCTCTTTTTATTTGACATTATTTTATTGCTTTTTGCCTGTGGGAATTGCCTTTCTGCACTCTGCATTGTTTGTGCCTCCTGGGCTTCGGTAGTGCTTCCTGGGTCTTTGTAGCCCCTCCCCTCTTCCCCTCACAATGGCTGTGTCTCAATTCAGGGGCTGGGTCCTCATGAGTGCACATTTGTCGGCCGCATACGTCATTGCCCCGCGTGGAGGACTGTCCCAATTCGAAGGCTCCTCATCATGCGGCCGAGGAATGCATCCTACTTCCTGTCGAAATCCGAGGATGCATCCATGTATCCTTACCAGCTGAGGATATCCCAGGATTCAATGCAGCAGCAAAACAAACTGAGAAATGAAGACGGTGGTGTTT